AGAACACGGTTGGAAGCAAAGGAAAGAAAGGAGAAAAGAAAAAGAAATCTTTGACCAAATGATCACAACTCATTAAAAATTTGCTCAGAATGTATCATAGATTTAAATATCAAATGCAAAATTATTAAACTTTTAGCGAAAAACCTTCTGGCTCTAAGAATCGGAAAAGAGCTCTTGATACTGGTGACCAAAAGCACATCCATAACTGGAAAAAATGACCACTTGGATATCATCAACATTTAAAACATTTGCTCTACCAAAACCCCTGTTAGGAAGGTGAAGGGAAGAAGCTACAGACTGAGAGAAAACATTTACAAACAACATCTTGGAAGAGGGACCGGTGCCTAGAGTACATAAACAACTCTCAAAACACAACAGTAAAACAACACCCTAAATAGAGAATGGGCAAAAGTCATACACAGACGTTTCACTGAGGAGGATACGCAGATGACAAACAAGCACATAAAGAGATGTTCGGCATTACCGTCAGCCAAATGCAAAGTACCCACAACGGCATAGCTCTGCACATCTGTGCAATGGCTCAACGTTTTTAAAATGCTGGAGAGCACGTGAAGAAATTGCCTCACTCAAATACTTCTTGTGGGAGTGCAAAATGGTAAGGCCACTCTGGAAAACAAATGGGCATTTCTTAGAAAAAGATAAACACACAAGTACCATTGAACACAGCAATTGCACTCTTGGGCATAACACAGAGATGCATGGAATATCTGTGTTAATTCCTGCACTTGTATGTGGATCCATAATTACCTCAAAGTCAATAGTTTAAACAAATCATGGTGAAATATATAATATCCCTTTGGTCCTTACTTGGGCTTCGGCTCTCTGTCCCTGGGGCAGGCTGTTGTTAGCTGTGGTTATCCACCTGTTCCTGCATCCCTGCCTTTGCTGTGTGACTTTGTAGTCCTTCAGCGTGAGGTTGGGGCTCACTTGCCTTCTTCCCTGCAGTCTGGCTTTGAGCTCCACTGTGTGACTTACTTGACCAATGGAATGAGGTAAAAACAATACTATGACATTTTTAAGCCTGAGTGTCAAGAGGCCTTCAGAGTATCCGTGGGTTCTGTTGGACGTCTCCCCTTGCCGTGGGATGAACACGCCCGGCTGGCCAGGGAGTCCCAGAACGCGGAGGAGAGGCACGTGGAGCAAAGCCGAGCTGCGCCGCTGAGCCCAGCTCCCTGAGCCGCCCGGGGGAGGCTGGGACAGGCAGGGAGCAGCCGCGCTGCCGGCAGAGTGTCGCCCGCGCTTGAGAGCGTGAGTGTCGGTTCTAGCTGAGTTGGTGCTGATTTTACAGGATGCACGACTATCAACTCAATGATACAGTGTGCCAGGTTTAAATGACATCCTGTGACTAGCCCCTATGTGGCAGTCATTGAGCTTATTCTACTTTTCCTTTTCTTTTCTCCTTTAAAAATTTGTATTTCCAGCCTTGACTGGTGTGTCTCCGTTGTTTCGGCTTCGTATCGCAAATCGAAATGTCTCTGATTTAATTCCAGGTCAGGGCACATGCCTGGGTTGCGGGCCTCGGCCCAAGCTGGCAGCGTGCCAGAGGCACGGATCAATGTGTCTCTCCCTGTCTTTCTCCCTCCCTTCCCCTTTGTCTAAAAATAAATAAATAAATCTTATCAATAACGAAATAATTTGTATTTCCATATTACTATGTGTCATTAATACAGCATTGTTCTACTTTTGTCTTAACATTTCTTTTAGTCCTCGATTTACTATTAAACACCTTATTCAGCGCCTGTCATTTTGCTACAGATTCTGCAGCTCTAAATTCATTGGGTGACAGTCTCCCTCTAGGACCTTCCTCAGGAAAAGCTCACAAGCCCCGATTTCCCAGAGTGCTGTGTGTTAAAACTGTATTGATTAGGCGGGGGCAGGGATCATAAGGGGACTAAATGGTAATGGAAAATGCCAGAAAAATTTAAAAACACATAAAAAAGAAAGTACACTAAAAAGTGTATTTTTGGCCTTGATATTCATTTAGTCTATTAATTTTTTCACTGATTCTTTCTTTTATTTACTTAAAAATATTGTTCCTCTCTTGCCTGCATTATATGTTTCGGCCAACACTTGTCCTTTATGCTTAGTAATTACTTCCCATTTGACTGTGGCCCAAAGGGCTTTTTCTTTAAGTAGAAGGATTTACTACAGTATTTCTGACAGCCGAGGCTACTGCGTGAATATTTCTGACTTACTTCATAGGAACTTTCCATGTGATATTCGAGTCTTTTTTTTCAATTTCCATAAAGTTTTAAGTTACAGCTTTTATTTTCTTAACTTACAGTTTCTTATATCCAGCATCTCAATTATTTTGTTTTTCTTCTTCAGCAATTCCACTTAGACATTTTAAAGATCTTGGTTTCTTGACTTTTGTATCTGTCACTTTCTCTTTCTGACCCCTCACTGAACTTGAAGTCACACATCCCTTGTGCTTTGGATTCTATCTAGCCTCCCTTAGGTCTTGTAACTTATTTTCTATTTCTAAAATGATTTTGTTGTATTCTCCCATTTCTTTTTCAGCTTTGGTCAGCTCTGATTTCACACCTTATAGTATTTTCCATTACTAGAATGAGTTTTTCTATTCTGAATCTATGATGTTGTTCCATGTTACTCATTTCATGTTAGAACACAATGTAATAGTTTCCCTCTGTGTCCTAGCTATGTTAAATGATTTCATCTGCAGAAATATTTCATTCTTATCCAGACTTTCGTAGACACCAGGTTTACTTGTGTTTATCTGAATTTGTATTGCGTTTTCTCAGACAGACAATAGTGTGTGATTCAGTGGGGGTGTCATAAGGCCTCTGGAAAGTCTCCTTGGTACTTAGCACCTTCTTCTGAGCCTCCATGAAATTAATTTGTAAAATAAATATTGTTTTATCTGCCTTTTTTCTAATTTCCTTTAATCCTCACCTGAGAATATGCCCATCAACAATTTAGAGAGAGAGGAAAGGAGAGAGGGAATGAGGGAAAGGGGGAGGGGCAGAGACAAGGAGAGAGAGAGAGAGAGTGAGAGAGAGAGAGAGAGAGAGAGCCATGAATGTGGCAGAGAAACATGTATGCGTTGCCTCCTGCACACATCCCGACTGAGGATAGAACCCCTACTTGAACATGTGCCCCGACTGGGGATCGAACCCGCAACATCCTGGTGTGCGGGACAGTGTTCCAACCGACTGAGCCACCCAGCCAGAGCCCCTTCTTCTAATTTGGATACTATCATTTTTCAGCGCCTTTGTAACAGCTGTGGTCATTTTTGTTCTGTTCACCACCACCAAGGCCCTCTCTTCTACCCCCTAATGGCCAGTGGTCTAAATGACTACGCCTCAGGGCTCTCTCAGTGTTTTCCCACTAAAGATAGAACCTTGTCTTTCCAGGAGTGATACCTTTGAGGTGTCATCTTTGATGAGCCACCAGCATGACCCCACCGCCCACTACGCTCTGTGCAAAATCCCCTGGCTGTTGCTGGTAGTGTTGGCCACGGACCCAGCTCTGCTGGTTTCGGGTACTCAGTAGTCAAGCGCAATGGTGTCCCGCAGGCTGGGCGAGGCCTGGGGCTCAGCTGAGTTTGTTATCCCTGGAGCTTTCTAGAATTTCTTGGAGAATGTCTGCAGGGATTAAAATACATGTGGCCCGTTTTGTCCTACAGAGATTTGAAAGCCCCACACACATTTTAATTAAAACAAAAACTCTTCCTGGGTTAATTTTAAAATTCAATAAATGTAAATTTACATCTGATCTTAGTAAACTATAAAATACCACCTGTACCGCATACGTTATTCAATTGACCTCTGAAAAGGTATTTTAAACATGGTATAAATGTATTGTTTTGCTTTTTAAAATACGGTATTTTAAGTGGTATCCTACCATACTGTGACCATTCTTTTTAACATGTTTTAAAAAAATTTTTTAAAGATTTTATTTATTTTTAGACAGAGGGGAAGGGGAGAAAAGAGAGAGAGAAACATCCATGCATGGTAGCATCTTGCATGCGGCCCCCCTGGGGACCTGGCCCACAACCCAGGCATGTGCCCTGACTGGGAATTGAACTGGTGACCCTTTGCTTTGCAGTCGTGCACTCAATCCACTGACCACACCAGCCAGCACCACACTGGCACCTTGTGAAGGTATGTTCTATGTGTTACGTGAGGTACTGTAGTTTGTACAGAGCAAACCCAGTACTTTTCTAGTGGTGAATAAAAGAGGGGTCATTTTGGTATAAATTAAAAAGTTAGCCAGGTAACATTTTGTGAGTCAAGTCTTAAATAATGCGATGAATTATCCTCACAAAACTATTTAAATTTTATCAAAACTTATCGGTGATTGAATTCTCTTCAGGAGCGCACCACAATCTTCGGTTTTCTCTCCCCAATATCCTCGACCTCCTCCGAGAGGGCGAAGGGCGCAGCAACGCCGCCAGGACGCCCGGGGGCGCGCCCGCGGCCATGTGGCCGCCGGCTCCAGTTCTCGTTCAGCGCTTTTCACACCGGCCGGACTTCGACCTTTGCTTCTCACTTGGGCTGCTGATAATGTGAAAGACGTTCAACTTGTTTTTTAATAACCATGTGTTTATCACTGTCATTTTATGGACAACGGGATTTGCGTCGGACCCTAAAACAACTGGAAGATTTTGGGGGCTCCTATTAAGTTCCATAATGAAAAGACAGAGCTCTGCGATGCCACCGGGCTCTCCACAGTTTGCCTTCCAGCAAGGTGCTCATTTCCTTGCCTTCAGCAGAAAGAAAAAGGAGAGTAAGTAAACGTGACATTCCCTTACATCCAACTGTCAGGCTATCAAACGAAGTAAAAGTAAAGGAAGACAAAAGGACATTATAAAAGAGAAAAAATGCAGACTAATAATGACATGAAAAATCGTGTCCCCACTTGGAGATCAGCAAGGGTATAAAAGATGACAGCCACCGTGCACGTGAGCTCTGCGAGTCTCTGCCGTCGCCCCCTGAGCAGCTGTTACCGTTGGGGAAATGTCGTACCCGATGCTCAGGCACCAGGCCCAGGACTGTCCAGACGGCAACCGCAGAGTCAAGGGGTGGAGATCTCCGAGCGCGCAGCACACCGAGAAGCAGGCGCTCAGGACGTTTTTTTCCACTCTAATACTCCTAAAACCTTGTATTTTTGCCTAGGGAGTAAAACTAAATTTTCAAAGCTATTTTAGGAGAAATAGGATAAATGATATAATTCAGAATAATGAAAACTAGATGTTATTCAATGAATCTATTTTAATAAAAGTTTTTAAAAAAGAAATGTACCAACATAAAATATGCAATTCAAATGATTAGTGATAATCACTAGATTTCTATCAAGCTAAGGTACACAAGTGATTCCCAAATTTATTTACATCTTTATTGTCAGTTATTTATTCTATTCAATAAATATAAACTGAGTGCCTATCACGAGTTAGGGATTGGGAAATAGAAACACAGTAACAGACTAAGCAGACTTATTTCTTAGACACACTCAGGGGAAAAGTTGCAGAAAATTAAAAAAGAAGTCTACAAATCAAACTTATTCCCATGTAAGCATATCAAAGTCAGTAAGAGTATCAAGGAAAATCCACCAATAAAATATTATTACATTAATGGAGGACGGTTTTAGGATTATCCAGGACTTTTAATTCCTATTGTCTAGTACGAGGAAGATATTTTTCTTAGGATTAAATGTAAAGAGCATGAAGTTTTAAGTCCAATAGGCATTCATTTCAATTGTGATTCTGCTCCGTCTACTAGTTATTCTGTTTCCCATAAATGTGTTCAGTTATATTGAGTCACACTCTCCCCATTGTATGAAGTTTACTAGTGCATTTTGATTATTTGATTCCTATTAGGATGAAATGCACTAATGTATGTAAAGAACCTACTACAAAGACTGATTCTTAGTCAGTCTTTAATCTAACCTGTGCCACGCCACAGGATTGCGCTGCCCTGTTAACTCACTCTTCACTATGCTGTAAATTCTGGGGAACCATAACTTGGAATGAGAAAAATGTCATAGGTATGTTTAGAGGAAAAAGGATGTTTAGATGAGAGTTACATATTAGGTTAATATGATAGGCTAGTAAATATGATCAAAGATACCATCTTAGAGTTTTTCTTGCTATTATAGTGAAAGGCAAGCTTTTAAAAGGTTTATTTGCGGAGAGTAACAATCAGATTTGCACTCTGGCATGTTTATGAACAGCATGAACGGGAGGCAGACAGACTGGAAGTGAGATCAAGTCAGGAAATGTGACCTGAGGTCCTGAGCGAGGAGAGGAGAAACCGCAGCTTTAGGACTTGACACAGGGACAGCAGAGACGGCCGGGGGAAGAGGCCCCGTTCCCCTGTGTCTTACAGATTAGTAAGTGAGCAGGTGGCACTGATATTAGCACAGATAGAAAACCGAGACCTGGTGCCCACCCGAGGAGCCAAGGGCGGGCAGGACTTCAACTTCAGAGGGGCTGGGTTTAAAGCTGCGCCCTGAAACCTCAAGGGGGAACGGAGGCGTGGAGGCCTGGAGGCCTGGAGTTTGGAAGGTGGTTGAAAAGCGACGACAGCCCTTGTTTGGAACCGTGTCTATGAAATGAAGGCCAGTCTTTAGGGGACAGAGTTCAGATGTCAGTTCCATTAGAAAAGTCACCTGCGTTTACTCCTTAGTACTAAAGACAACTACATCTGCAAAGGCCCTGATTTTCTGTTCATTTGACTTAGAAAGGGACCTTCGTTCGTAAGGTATTATTAAGGCGTCCTCAGCATGCTCCAGTAACACATTTACACAGTGACTTCTAACCACATGGCTTAAAATAAATTAATGGGAGACTTTAATAAGAGGAGCGAATGAGGACAAATTACATATTAAAACTATCAGACCCAATATCAGACTAAAATATTCTTAGTTGCTTATTATATTTTAACCAAGACATTCTGTCTTTGGAAATTTTCATCAAATTTGACTGAATCTTCCTAAGTGAGATTTTAGAGTTTCTTTCAGCATCTGAAGATTTACTCATTCATTTTTACAACATCAGGGACTTCCCGTTTCTCCAGGCTTCCTCTCGCTCCAGATCCCTGCACTCAGTCCCTGCGGATCCTTTGAATCGGCCCCTTTTCTATTTTCTCACCTTCCTTTTTAAATCGCACTGTTTCCCTTCCATATCTGAGTACTAGTCCCAGACTTGGGCTGAGGTAAATATCTACTAGTGGTTTCACATAGCGGAAGTGATACCATATTGCTACACACATGGCATACCGATATCACTAATATTATTAATTCACATTCTTAAAAATCTCCTTGCAATTCCTTCCTCAGAAGCTTTTCACAGCTCACTTCTACACGCACAGCCCTGGCCGTCCAGCTCACTTTTGGTTCCCCTTCCGTCACCCCGGCTTGCTGAACCGCAACCACGGCCCCGAAGTCACATTCGTCTTGCTTGTTCACGAGCAGGAATATCCATGGCTTTTCTAGTTATTTCTTTGGGTCGCATCTCGATTCTTCAGGACATCCTCGGCCTCAGTCTCACACCAAATAAGCACATTGAAGTAGGTCCAAAAACAGACAAATTTTCTTCCTGAGAAAAATTTGGGGTGAGCTCTCAGAAGCACATGTTCCCTGTGAGTTATAATATAAATTAGTCATTAGTCTCATCATGTGGTATATTTACAGTTAATAAAAAAATCCCTCCATCTATGAAATTCCATTAGGTGGCTTTCCCCCTTAAATATCCTCAAAACTGAAAAATAGCACATGGCTCACTGCACTGATTGCTATTTTTATTCTCTAGCAGGGGGTATATTCGCAAGAAACATTCTCTAGTTGTTTGATAATGACAACATAAAAGGGGCTATTTAATTCCAAGAACAAATTGTAAGTTTCTTAAAATCGCAATCAAGTATAAAATATCTTGGAATTGGGACAGAGATGTCCGCCTGGGGAGTGACACACCAACAGAAATTGCCTCTTAGAAGGCAGAGTCCAGGAGGCTGATTGCGGTGACCTGTTGGACTTGGACTCATTAGTCTTGCTGTTGCCATTAGTTTTCAATTTTGTTTCCTTTTTCTTTTTATTGTTTTGTCATTGTTTACAGTTTTTCTATTTTCCTTTTTCTTTTTTCTTTGTTTTCTTTCATTTAAAAAAATTTTTTTTTGTTGTTATTTTGAAGCCACCATGACTAATGTCCTTGCAGCCATCGCCTGCCTAAAAAGCGCTTTACTGGCGATTACACGCTGCTGCGCACCATTGGCAAGCGGTCCTTGGCCAAGGTGTGGTTGGCCCGCCACCTGTAGACGGGTAGGGAGGTGGCCGTCAAAGGCATTAGCCAGTGTGGCGTCAGCAGATATTTTGAAGAAGCCCGTTGCTACAAGGCTTGAATCGCCCCAGGATAACAAAACTGTCTGAGGTGATTGTCACTGAGGAGAAACTTTCTCTCTTCATGGAGCACGTGAGCAGAGGGAACCTGGGTGAATAGCTCCACCGCCACGGCCGCAGGAGCGAGGGGGAAGCCCGAGCCATCTCCCGGCAGCTCGTGTCCGCGGTTCAGCGTTGCCACCAGCAGGGAGTCGTCCACCAGGACCTGAAGCCAGAGAACATCCTGATGGATGGTGACAGGAACGTCAAACTGGCCAACTTCGGCCTTGCTAGGGTGTACACCAAGTCTCAGCTGAGCAGCTACTGTGGCGCCGTGGCTTATGTGGCCCCAGAGATCTTGATGCATCAAACCTATGATGGCACAAAGGTCGACGTCTGGAGCCTGGGGGTAGTTTTATACAGGATGCTAGTGGGGGATTTTCCATTTGTGGGGGACACCTATGGGAAAATGAAGAAGGCGATACTGAGTGGGAAGGTCTCTTTGCCATGCTTTCTCTCCAAAGAAGGTAAAAACCTGTTTAAAATGTTATTGATCCTCTACCCCAGGAGAAGACCAACCTTAAGAGACATAATGAGTGATCCGTGGATCAACATGGGGCAAGAGCAGGAGCTGAGGCTGTACAGTGAGCCACCAGGTGGCAGCAACAATGGAGGGCATGGGATTTAGAAAGGACGAGACTGAGGAGTCAGTATCACAAAAAACCTATGACAGGGTGATGGGAACAGACCTGATCCTGAAAACAATGAAGGCTAAGATGAAGGCCGCACTGTCTGGGTGAGGCTCTATCCCCTGGTGACCCCAACATCAGTAAGAGGACGGAAGAGCCTGCCCTCTCCTCCAGCCTCCTGGGGTCGAGGACGACCACTTCCTCCAGCATAGGGAAGCAGCTGACGGTACCCGCCCCCGCCCCCCAGCCTGCCTAGCTTCCAGGACCAGCACTTCCCTACCCGGCCGTGAGTCAAGGACAGTCACCCCCCAGCCCGGCCCCGCAGGGTGGCCCTGGGGGCTCCCCCCACCAGCCCCAGCAGAGGCAGCACCAGAAGAGCCGCGGATGGAACCACCACCGACGTCTGCCTCCAGCAGCCTGTTGGGGGGACCCCAGCCTCTCCCTCTCGCCACAGCCCCAGCCGGCAGGGGCTGGTTCGGAGAGCCTTTGGGTTTTTCTTAAACCTTTGCTTCTGCTGCGGGCCACCCACAAAGCAGCAGCATCACAAAAGGACACCAGTCAAGCCAAAATAATTTTTTAAATCACGGACGGCCGAGGCACAGCTACATTCGACCTCTGGCCACGCGGCGCAGGAGATGAGCCAGAAGCTGGACGCAAGCAGCTGCAGGAGACACGGTGCCACAGACACGCGCTGTGTGTGTAGGTGCGAGGACTCGGACCAGTGGGCGACGGAGGTGCGCAAACTGCCGCGGCGTTCTCTGCACGGGCTGTACACCAGGAGGGCGTCCGGCTTCTCCATGGCCTCGTTGCTGAGGGACAAGAGGAGAGGCCACCCTCATTGCGGGCCCGCCCCTCAGCCCCCACCTGAATGGACTGTTTTTCCTGGGGCCCTTCTCCCCTCCCCTGCTCTCCTTGGCTCCCCGGTTTGTGGGGGTTCTAATTAAAGTTCCTGGTTTTTCCAAATTTTGAAATAAACTTGATGATTAACAAAGAAGTATTGGGTCCTTTGTTTTTTGTCTTTGCACAGAATCTGGGCTCTGGGAGCTGCAGTTTGAGAAGCGTGTAGTGATGTAGGACAGACTTGGACTTTACTATGGGAACTCCCAACGGTCAGGAATGTGGTCTTGCAGGGAAAAGGGAAAGGCCAGCGCCCAGCATGCTCGGCAGGTTTGACACCAGGGCAGAGCAGGGCAGAAGCAGGCAGAGGCCTCAACTGTCATGCCGCTGAGAGCCTGGCTGCTCTGTGACACCAGCTGGAACCACCTCTCCTGACCTCTTGGCTTTGCTTCCTTCCCTCTGGCCCGGCATCATTCTCAGGGGGGCTTCCCCTTTAGGCGAGTCGGACGTGGAAAGCTCTGGGGGAGGAGGCTGCAGGCAGAGGGCACAGCCCAGCTGCAGGCGGCCCGAGCTCAGTGAGCTCGAGTGAGAGCGGCGGAGCCGGGGCTGCGGGCGGAGGGCAGAGCTCGTGGGCCCCGGACGGGGAGTGGGTTTAACTCTGAGAACGGTGATCAGCCCGGGAAGCGTTTTAAACAAGAAACCAATATGATCCCATTTATGTTTAAAACTGGTCCATTGTGGCAAATAGTCTTCCTCCGTAAACATTTTTATCTATTTCTACATATAAGAATCTCCAGGCGGGGCAGGTTTTCCTACGACCACTGGAGAAATATGAGTCGGAAACTGTGTGTGTTTCTCTCACTTTCATCCTTACCTGCCCAGGTCCCTGAACACTTAGAAATGCAATGAGTACACTGTGTTCCAAGGGAAAGCCCTCGCTGCCTCTGCGGAGCTGATGCATTGCTCTTACACCACCGATAGCTGATCCGCTTGCCCTCTGCCCTGAGGAAGCTGCCGCGGTCCTTTGACTCATCTGTCCTCCTGCCCAGACACCCCAACAGCATGTGGCATAGATCTGCCTGTGACTCTCGTCACTTGGTATTGTCATTAAGCGGTTCCCTTCCCCTCCTGGCCCTCATCTCCCATTGCTGAGTTCTTTGGGGACTGGGAACTCTCCTGCTCACCTTTGTATTCCAGTCTTTATCAGAAAGCCAGGTCCAGAGGAGGTGCTCGGAAAATGAGGGCCAGGGGACCCATCAACCTGGTGCTGTAGAGTGGACTGTCCCCAGTCAGGACACACTGGCTGTGAAAGGGAATGTCAGTGGTGAATACGCTGGAACCACAGTGTGAGACTGGACTGGGATCGAACCGGGATGATGTTTATATTAAAATCAAAGCGAACAGAGAGAAATGAGCCCTGGGATATACACAAGGACGGAAGATCCTAATATTTATCTTCCCGAGTTCACCAGAATTTGGGTCAGCTGTGGTAGTACTGAGCAGAGACCCACAGCATCAAATCATCTTACGGGGCAGAGGAAGCACAAAGCACCACCGGGCTCCTGCCCCTACCTGGCTGTGGGTGGAGGCTGCAGGCAGGTGAAGGCAGAACCACTGTGGGAAAAGGCAGATACTTTTTCCCTATCTTATTAAATCTCTGGTTTCAAGCTTTGACTAGCATAGACCTGAAGTTTAACAAAATGTTCATATGACCTATAATCAGTGGCTTGAATGCAGTGTTTTGTCTTCTACAAGTGTCATACGGTTGAAAGGACTTTCCCTTTGAGATGAATGTGACTGGAGGACAGGTATTCTCAATAGGGTGGGGTGGGAAAAACCCAAGCAAAGACAGTAGCATCAACAAAAGCCCAGTGGGATGAAATAACGTGTTATCTTTGGGGAACTGCGTGCATTTTAGAGCATCCGGGGTGTAGGCTGGAGGCTTGGAAGAGAGGGCCAAGGAGCAGGGAGAATGACCTCATTGTACCACTCACTTGAGATTGGCCGACGGAGTGTGGGAAGTTTAAACAAGTCACACAGAAGAGAAGGACTGAAGGACTATGAGCATAGTTCAAGAGTTCAGATGGACAGAGGAAAATGCAGCTAGGAAGACAGGAGACTCACAAGCCAGGAGAGACTGGAAGATGAACCGGCCAAAGGGATGATCAAAAAATGTAATACAACAGACAGCAATGTCAGTAGTCAGGGCTAAGAGAAATTGAAACAAGCGTGCTACTGAATAGGTGGTCTGGCATTGAAACGTGAAAACATGGTGATACACCAAGGCGATCCATCTATTAAGAGCCTCACACACCAGATGGGTAAGTTCTGCAAAATGCATTGTTAGACTATGAGATCAGGAGATTTTAGTTTGCATCTCTCTGACGATTAGTGACCTTGAGCCTTTTTTCATGCATCCATTTGTATGTCCTCCTTGGAGAGGGAGGTATTACCTTACACCTGCCAGGGTAACTACCACCAATAAATCAACAAACAGCTAGTGCTGGCGAGGATGTGGAGACAAGGGAATCCTCATGCACTGTTGGTGGGAATGCAGACTCCTGTGGCCACTGTGGAAAAACAGTACGGAATTTCCTCAAAAAACTAAAAATGGAACTTCCATTTGACCCAGCAATCCCACTTCTGGGAATATACCTAAGAATCCCAAAACACCAATCAGAAAGAATATATGCACCCCTGTGTTCCCAAGCATTATTACTTACAATAGCCAAGATATGGAAACAGAGGAAGTGCCCATCAGTAGGTGAGGGGATAAAAATGCTGTGGTGCATTTGCACAGTGGAACACTAAAGAAAACCAAAATAGAAAGGAAGAAGTAAAACTGTTAGTATTCGTGCATGACATGATACTGTCTATAGAGAATCCTAAAGCGTCCACCAAAAACTACTGGAACTGACAAATAAATTCAATCAAGCAGCAGGATACAAAGGAAATTCCGAAAACCAGTTGCATTTTTATACACCAATAGTGAACTCTGGGAAAGGGAAACCAAGAAAAGAATTCCATGTAGAATTGCATCCAAAAAATTATTACCGAGGAATCAATTTAACCAAGCATGTTACACACCAGGACTCCGAAAATTAGAAGACACTGAAGAAAGAAACTGAAGAAGACACAAATACAGGGAAACACAGGCTGTGTTCATGGACAGAAAAGATTAACATCATAAAATTGTCAATACTACCCAAGGCAATCTACAGATTCAATGCAATTCCTATTAAAATAGCAACAGCATATCTCACATATATAAAACATACATTCCACAAATTTATTAGAACCAAAAAGACCCCGACCAGCCACAGCAATCTAGAGAAAAAGAATTGAGAGGTATCACACTATCGGATATCAAACTATACTACAAGGCCATAACAGTCAAAACAGCATGGTATTGGCTGCTGAGGGTCAGTGGGTTGGGTGTCGTCCACAGACCAAAAGGTCGGCAGTTCAACTCCTGGTCAGGGTACACGCCTGGGCTGCATCCCCAGCTGGGGGCATGTGCGAGGCAACCAATCAATGTTTCCCTCACACATTGATGTTTCTCTCCCTCCTTTTTCCTCGCTCTAAAAAAATTAATTAAATTAAAAAAAAGAAAACAACAGCATGGTATTGGCACAAAAACAGGGATATAGGTGAATGGAATAGAGAGCCCAGAAATCAACCCATTCCCTTATGCTGAAGTCATATTTCATAAAGGAGGCAAGAACATACAATGGAATAAAGACAGTCCCTTCAATAAATGGTGTTGGACACATACATGCGAGAAAGTGAAACTAGACCACCAACTTACACCATACACAAAGATAAACCCAAAATTAATTAAAAACTTTAATGTAAGTTGCAAAATCATAAAAACCTCAGAGGAAAACTCAGGCAGTAAAATTTTAGACATTTCTCATAGCAATATTTTGAGCAATATATCTCCTTGGGCAAGGGAAAGAAAGGGGGAAAAAATGGGACTACATCAAACAAAAAAGCTTTTGTACAACAAAAGAAACCATTAACCAAATAAAAAAGCAACCCGACTGAATGGGTAACATATTTGCCAATGATACACCTGATAAGGGTTTGATGCGCAAACTATATTTTACAATTATACTGCTCAACACCAAGAAGACAAACAACCCAATTAAAAATGGGCAAA